TATATGTTAAACTCAGCTAAGATGGCAAAATGAAACTGCAAATATTTGAGGGGTGTAAACATCAAGGATGGAGTGCAAATATTTAGGGGTGGCAAAAGTGGATTCAAACTGGCAGTAAGAGGATGAAATTAAGAAAGGGGAAAATTAGAGTGAATCTTGAAGAGTGATGCGGAGAGGACTTCCTGACAGGGAGAATGCATTTGATCAGGAAATAAGCACAAACCCATCTTCCTCTTTCAAATCCCTTCTGAAAACTCTTCCTGTGCTATGTTGCCTATAAAATACGCAAATATAAAATATAAAAACTGGATGGTATGTAAAGCAGCAGGCACAGCACACCAGCCGCCTAACCATCTTTGTGTTCCTTCTTCCTGTTCTATCCACCTATTGTCTCCTGTTAATACTTCAAATGTAAGCGCTTTGGGGGAAGGGACCATCTCTTTGTTGGGTGTCTTTACAGCATCTAACACTATGGGGTCTTGGTCTACAACCAGGGACTCTCAGCATCCCTGCAATACAAATAAATAAACAGCCTCCCAAGGGAAGCAGTGGATGTGCCGGACCTTGGAAACTGTTCAGTCAAACTCCAGAAACCGTATTTCAGGGAACAGTCCTGCATTGGCAGGGAGATAAAAATCACAGGAATTGGAGTCAGAGTTGACTGAATAGGTGCTATCGAAATTGGATCTAATAGGTATTTTCCCCTCTCTGAATCCAACTCTCAGTGCTTAAACAGGAAACTTTCATCAAAAAATGGTGCAAACCGTATAAATGGACTGAATCTCTGACACCATTCAGGAAGCTTTGGCTGCTTCTTAAAAGCCTCCCATCCAAGTGCTGAACAGCCCTAACCCTTCTTAGTGCATGAGAATTAATAAATAATAATAATTGTTTGTATTTCTGTAGTGCCCAGGAGCCCCAGTCGTGGACCACGGTCCCAAAAAAAGGCAGTTTCTGCCCCAAAGAACTAATGAGTTTACAGCCACAAGGACTATTGCCACAAACCATGATCTGTTCTGATTTGAATTTGGTATCCAGTTTCCAAAGACACTGAATTATTTTAAGTAGGCTGTTTACCTTCATGTGAATAGAATTAGCCTTACACAATGAGCCTTTATGTGAAGTTTTATTGTCCAAAGCAAATATGACCTGTTAAGATTTACAGGCTTTATTAACAGCAATAACCATTTTACAACCAACCTCAGTAACTCAGGGTTTATTGAGAGCTGTGCAATTTTAATGTGTGGAAAACCATTTAACTGTCAGCTTTTCATCTGACATAATTCCTAACTTTTTATGAAAGAGAGATTTTCTATTTAACTGGGGAGAATAAAGCAGCAGAGTTTGGAATAATGAATTGTTCTGAAAACAACAAATAGGTTTTGTCTAAATAATGATGAGAATCAAATGGTGAAATGCTTATCTTTAGTTAGTACCATTCCCATAAGCTTAAGGTAAATAAAAATGATAAACCCAGGCAAATTAGTTATGTAATAGTCAATATTCTGCATGGACTGGCTCTGAACCTATATTGATATTACCAACTCTTGCAATTTTATTGAGAATCTTACTATATTTAGTGTTTTCCTAAAGCCTCAGCATCCAAAATCATGAGATAACTTGAGAATCTTAGGAATTTACATTTTTTGACTAATGCAAGCTAACTCTTCATGGTTATGGAGAAAAACTTTAAAATGTGAACCCTAAAGCCTCAAAAAGAGGAAGGCAGATAAAAAGAACCCAAATTCTATTTTTTTTAAATCTCATGATTTTTAAGTCAATCTCATGATTTTTGGAGCCTAATTTGTGAGTTTTGAACACTGGGGTCCTCTGAACACCTAAGTCATTCAGTTACTCCTGCCTCCAACCCTGAACTGCCCCAACAACCTCTCCTGACTTTACATTTTAAGATTTGGATTTAATACTGGGATAGCTAAGCAGTGGAACAAGTTAGCTAAGGCAGTTTTGAAACTCCAGTCATTGAAGGTTTTTAAGACCAGGTTGGACTAACACCAGTCAGGGATGGTCTAGGTATACTTAGTACTGCCTCAGCACAGCGGGGTGGACTAACCATCTTGAAGTCCCTTTCAGCCCTACATCTCTGATTCTATGATTTAAGGATTCAACTTGTCAATTTCAATTTAAGGCTGGGGGAGGGAAGGGAAATGCCTATATCAAAAACTCTGAGTGCCATAATAAAATAAAAACACCTTACAGCACTGATAAAGACCATCAGCATTAAATTCTAATATACAAATAAATGACCTGGGCAACTGGAATGACACTATTAAACCCTTCTGCTAAGATTCACCCCAGTGTTCCCAGATGGCCCCAAAGCAGATATACTTTCTTCTCTCCATCCTACACTGCTGGGAGGGGCAATAACTTCAATCTCCCAACATCTGAAAGCCTTGTCCCACTCTAAGCCTCATATGATGTACATCCTCAAAAGGCAAGGGTTTTTTAAATATGCTAATTCAAGCCTTTAAGTGCTACTATAGAAACTTACTATTCTGAGCAATCATTTTATTTAGGGGGGAATTCAATATTGGTAATAGAAGTGTTGCTATGTAGTTGAACAGTCAGAAAAGAGCATGCTATTGTATCTAATCTTTAATGCTTTAACAATAACGACAGCACAGTGGGAAAATCCATTGGGATTACATCAGGGGCATCTTTGGCCCAGTTTGTTTTAAAAGGCAGCAATTGCATAGAAATGAATCACCAATTACTGATCATTATCACACTTTCCAGAGTTGGATATCTATTTTCAAATGGAAAATTGCTGATAATTCTCAAAACCTCAATAAAATTCAAAACATGTTGGCTCTGAATCACCATAATTTCTTATCCCCTTTCTTTCAAATTACTGAACTCCAACAGTGAAAATGATCTTTGACTGTTTAGCTATCTGCAACGGGAAATAGCCAAATTTATATAATTGTTCAGTTCAGCATACATACTTGCTAGGTTGGATAGCATTTATTTACCTGGTGGGTTAAAATTTGTTTCTTTTGTTTCCAAAGAAAATGCCTGAAATTTGTTTAATTTATCACTTATAAACTTTCTGCTTACCCTGGAGCCTATGTATTTGGAGAATTAATGGCAAAAAAACAAGTCTTTCAAGGATGTGATATAGTAAACTGAGCAGTGGGTGAAATTAGATACCATTGGGGTGGATGTAGTAGCAGAAATTCTCTTGATAGAGAAATGAGTGCTAGATGTGTAGATACACATTCCCCCTCCTCACTACCCTTATTTCTAAACCAGCCTGCAAGATCTTTTAATTTGTATCCCAATTTGCTTCATTTCTTAACTCTTCCTGGGTTTTTGATGGCATCTGCCCAGCATGTTTTCCATCTAACTCTGAGACTGTGTTTTCTTTCTTTGCAGTTTATTTTCCCAGCTTCTTTTGTCCCTCCAATTAGTAGATACCATAGTGATTTGAAAGACAAATGACTTCTAGTTGATATCAGTTTCTCTATTTATCAAAGGATGCTAAATAGCAGCATTACAGATGCAGCTCTGGCATTTTGGAGAGTAAATACAGCACAATACAGCATGGGCAGGCCCAGACTCTTAGCTCCGAGCCCAAAGGTGGATTAGCTAGCTAGCTAGTACTGTAACTCCCACAGGAATTACATAGCTGTGTTTATTGATGTACCGTACACCAAGTTGTGGGACTGCTGTCCACCCCGCTGAACATCCTGCTATTCAGAAAGGCAGGTAGTTCCATCTATAATGCAACAGCCCTCCAAATAGCTATGCCAAGCATTTCACTAGGCATCATTTAGTTAGCCCACTGCTTTACATGGGCTATTAGACAAGCCCTCCTCTGAACCAGGAAGCAGAGAGTAACATCAACAGGGCCAAAATCATCATTAGTTCAAGTCCCCTAACCTCAGTGGAGCTACACCAGAGTTTATATGTAAAGCATCTACTGTGTCCCTGACATTTTGAAGACAGGTATGAAGACAAGTGCTTAGCCCTAATGGACGATGCACACACGCAAGAGGAGCAGCATAAAAGCAGTGAGATTGAACAGTGCTATTCTATGTGCATCTTTTTAGAGTCACTTTTTCCCCCTAGATCAGGCACGAATTCTGGCCCCTTGCATATTTTAAAATAAAACAGACAGGGATTAAGAGAAGGGGAGTATGTATGTGGGGTGCTAACTATTTTACCCCAAACTGTGTGTGCTACTCCAAACTGCTATTTTGGAGGTGGGTGGTTAAGTGATGAGGAGGGAAGAGAAATGTTCAAATAAGCACTTGTTTTTGTTAAGTAATTACATCTGGAAAAAAAACAACAACAACCTAGAAGCCTCAAAAATCACCTGCCACTTCATTCTGAAGGTGGAATAATGAAATAACATCAAGACAAAGGCTTTAAAAACAAAATCCTTCAGAATGGGTAAAAAAACGTAAAACAACCAGAAGTACAAAACAGACCGTTTTACCCTGCTGCACTACTGGACATAGTAGAGTGTCCAGCCACGTCAGTGTTTGCGCCGTGCTTTGAACACCGAGGATGCTAGAAGTGCAAAGTATCGCCGTTATTATTCCATCCGTTCTTTATACTCACCTTTCACCATTTCAAAGCAGAGGCTACCATCTATTTCTCTGCATTTGACAGGTAAGAGCAGATTGGTGCCTCACTGTCGTGCAGTCTCACATATTTAGTCTCTAAAGCAAATATTTAAATCCAGTTATCCTCGATTTCTCACGGGTGAAAAGGCCAGTTCTACGGATATCTGTGCCTTCACCTCCCCGTTACTCTACTCCTTAGGCACAACTTCATTGACAATAAAAAGTTGAATTGGAACTGGCTTTAACAACATGTCAAGAGGCCCTAGAGTAGAATATTGTAATGGCACTGGATTTTTACAAACACCTGGAACAGGCTTTAGTTGATACTTCCCCACTTCCCCTTCAAATATATCCAGTTCAAAAGAGACTAGCTAATAACAGTGATGTCAAAACCAGTGTCTCCTCTCTCACCTCAGCTGCAGGTACTCCCTCTGGTGGCCGACAGTGCAGAACAATCATCCCTTCAATAGGAACCTCCTTTCCTTGTGGGTCTTGCTCAAAGTTTTTCCGTAAATCTGAAAAGAGGTGAATGCAGTTGTTACATCACCAATGCAGTTTATTTGAACTAGTTTCAAGCTCAGCTGCTGGGATATGAGGTTTTCCAAAAGCCATTCTTCATGCAGTTTATTTTATATATATGTTGTGGAAGATACTAACAATAAGGCTTAGTAATTTTCTACCACTATATATGTTCAAAGCACTTGACAAACATTGACTAATATCCCTCTCTGGAAGGTGGGTATATAAATATTTTTATCCCCATTTTACACATGGAGAAACAGAGACCGAAAGTAGTGACTTGTCCAAGGCCACACAAGTGAATCAGGATTAGAACCCAGAACTTCCTCCCTCCCACCTTGTATGCAACCCCCCTAAACCATTCAGGCTTTCAAAAGGTGAAGAATAATCTCCAGGAATGCTTTGTAGTGACACTGAAACACAACTTTAAAAACAGTTTTTTTCAGTCAATACTAATAAGTCAAAGGATATTATTTTAAAATAAAACAAATGAAGCTGATCTGTATTTTGTGGCGATATGATTCATTAAAACTTCCATCATTAACTATCCTCATGTCTGACTGGATTTGCTAATGCAAAACTGTTTACTTATAAAACATTGTGTCCAAAGGTTCTTTGGACACTTGGCAATAAATACACAATTGAAAAGGAGGCACAGAACCATAACTAGCAATATGAAATCTGTGCAGACACTGCAGCAAGTTATACAATTTCCCCAGCACTAGACAACATGCCCATATCTTCCAAGATAGACACCATTACATACTGTCTGGTCAACAACTTAGTGGGTTAGAACTTTAAACAGTGTTAATAAAGGGCTGAAGGAAGAATAATGGTACTCTATGGGGACTGGCAGGTTTTTAAAAACTATTTTAAGCCATTGTGGATTTTTAAATCTGGCTATAGCTATGCTCAAGCATTGGGACCCACCAGGAAAAGAGTGGAAGAGGGTGGGCAGGAAAGAAGGTACACAAGTAACCCATCCAGTACCAAATGCACAAAGAAACACCCACACAGCCTCCCTCCAACAACCAACCAAATATGAATGACAAGGAAAGAAAAGCAACTTGAGGCTTGCCCAGAAGAATTCCAACAAAGTGCAAATTAGGATAGTCATAATGGATGAAATTCACCCCGTACAGTGGGGCCAGCACAAGGTCTAAGATTCACTTAAGTCCCACTTCCATCATATTTTGATTGCTTAAATGGTGCTGTACCTCTGCACCCCATTTTTATATCCCCATGTGTGTGTTTTAATAACCATTTTATTCAATACTCCTTTGGTCCTCCTTGATATTGGGATATAATTCCACAAAGGCAAATCCTGATCTTACTTCTACAAATGCAAAGAGGAACTGCAAAGCTCTACCGTGCAAAAGGAAGGTCTGCAGGTGGGACGCATGGAGGGGTGCACACCACTGGCACAGAGCCCACGTATGTGGGGACTCCTCCGATGGTCATGCTTTAGGTTTGACTGGAGGAAAGGCCGACGTGGCCAGCGCATTCACTGTTGGAAAAATTTCTCCACTCAAGGTGATGGTAGGGCTATTGGCTACCCTCTTAGGGTAGAGTTGCCTCCATCACTTCTCCACACCCTTGGGAAAGCTTTCCACTTCTTCCCCAAGGAGATTCCCAGGTGACAGATAAATCTCCTATTACACAAATCCTCTAGTCCTCCTTCCCCACCTCTCCCATGCTAGCACTGCAGAGGATAATCGATTAGACTGGAGCAGCCTCCCCAAGCAGTTCCACCACTGATGTTCAGCCTTGGGAAAGAAACCCCTTACCCATGGGGATCCCTGTGCCAGAGTCTGGATTTGCCCGGTAATAGACGACACATTCCTTGCAGCCGTGCAAGCACATGAGAGACTAACCAGAAGAAAGGTTATTTACAGCATGTACTCCAAGTGAGGATGTTTCTGTTAGACAAAGTCGTTTTCTTTAAACAGAGTGCCTCAAATTCCACAATGTGGATTTATTGATTTAATTTTCTCCAGTGCTTACAACTTCATGAAATACGTCCCCCTTAAGTAGCAGAGGCCCTGAATCAGTTACACTTTTATACATTTTATAAATACATTAAGATTTATTTTTAGCAAGTCAGCGACTCACTGGAAAAAGATGCAAATATCACATTTATGATTCCCTTTTAATGTTTTTTTTCCCCACGTAGGGCACTGTAAATAAGTATTGGTTACCTATTTAGAGAGTTATTCATTAATACTTAGAATACAACTGTGTCCACAAGGGGCTTTTTGTTTCTCTGCCTTCCAAATTGCTCTACAAAAATAGCTACCTGCTATTTCAGAAAACTATAAATTGCAATATTGCTTTAAACTTACGATTCAGAATCACAGGTTCTGAGTGAAACAGAAGGCCACCTGAACTGGTGTAACAACAAGTATTGTGATCCAGGTCTGAAATGAAATACTAGTGCTCTCTGCACTATCACAAATTAGATCTGCACGTTCTCATCTGTGGTCCCCTAGGGGATATTTCCTGAGTCAAAAATCCATGCTCCAAGTTAAGCAACTGGGTTGTTCATCAGAGACAGCCTGACACAGGTCCATGACAAAGTGAGCTCCTGAAAACACATGGGGGGATCTTACAGAATCCTATTCAGAGACTATTCATTTTGCTCGTCTGAACTGTGCTCAAGGTCCCACCATCTTTGATGCTCTAATTTCTGGAAGTGTTTTTGTGCTTCCATCCCACCCCCCACAAAAACACGAGTGCAAGAAAAGGCATCAAAGGGAATGGTGAATGAAGCAATACCATTCTCAGGTGCACAGCTCTACTGTGGTCAGTATGTTGCAGGACACAGAAATGGGGAAGAACATGGTCCAGAATGCTTGCCAAATTTGTAAAATATCTTAAATTACTTATGAGAGGTAGGTATGTATTATGCAGATGATCAGATTCCACAGTGATTGACATGATGTATATAAAAATCCAGACAGCTAAACCAATCCACTTGTTTCAGTTCATTCCTCGTTCTCTTTTCACTCTGCCACGTTAGGGGAGAAAAAAAAATCATAGCACAGAGAAAAGTCAATAAAAATTCAATTCAGAATAATAGTCTTTTGCAGCTCAGCAATACGGGGGAATTATCAGCTCATTCAATGTTATGACAGTTAATGCAGTGAAATAAAAATTGAATTTACACTTTCAAACTAAATCAGCCAATGAAAAATCAGTCACTTATAAAAATCAGGGGGTTGGTATGTTGTCCTGTTAGTTTGCCCAACTGTTTTATTTAAATTGGTCCTGCCAAAGAAGCATAATTGTAGAAGCAAACTCCAAAACAATCTTCATCTGGGCCAAAAAGGAAATACACAGTTAAGGCAAAATTTCAATGTGTTCATAGTCATTTGAGTTTATGATGCTTACTTAATTCTGCAGAGCATTTATAGTCCTTGGATCAGAGGAATATTGTACCCATTTTACAGATGGGTAAGCTGAAAGCATGGAAAGGAGAAGTAGTTTGTCTAAAGTCACCCAGTGAGTCAAAGACTAAGCTGGAAACAGAATCCAGCAGTTCTCACTCCCAGTCCCCTACAAGAATCCTAACATAATAAGTGTAAATCAAAGCTGAGCAATTGTTTCCTTCTTTTACAGACCTTTTTACTTATTAATTAACAATGTAAGGTATTTGCCTAATAATCAGAATTAGTGATTTAAAAGTAAAAGATAAACTGGGACCACAAGAGAGTTAGAGAAAGTATATTCCTGAATCCTCAACTAACAGCAATGCTGCAAAAACACAGCTCAGACCCCTCCATGAGAAAAATGCACCAGATGTCATTGTAAAGTGAAAACCAGATGAAGCTTTGAGTACCTCCAGTCATACAACATTCTGTATTATAACACTCATATTCGGGTACTGTCCTTTTGGCCATTGGATTTTAATGTTTCTCCTCGCCATAATGCTGTTTATTGTGTTTCCTAGTTTCTCCTGCATCGAGACAATGATCTGTTGATTGTGAGTGATAACACTGCAGTGTAGCAATTCTGATTTGAGGAGCAGAGATGGGCAGAGACAGAAATAGCTCCCCAGCCTGAGGAAAACTACTGCCCCTTCTCCCCAGTATTTTACAAATACTGGCATTGTGTAACCTGCCTGGTAGCTATGTTTCTTCGATACTGTTTGGGCGGTTAGGACAATTCATCTCTAATCTACGGTACAGTGACTGCCATTAAAGGAAATTAACATTTGTCAGACCAGATGAGCTGTATCTGCAAAACCACAGCCTTTCGCTATACATGTTACAAGAAATAATGGCAATGTGTGTGCTAACTTGGAAAATAGTGATTTTTCAGTGGTGACTACAATAACTACACTGACTTTAGTGGAGTAATACTAGGAATGAATCTGGGATGAATTTAACCTTCAATGCTACATCACCAGCATAGCCTGAAAAGAAATATATTCTAAATTCATTCTTTACTTTGCTTCTCTGCACATTGGAGTGCCTTTCAAACCCACCTTTGGGCAAGAAACTGACATATATGGCATGTTTTGGAAATAGTTTAAACAGCAGAGCATAAACTATACAGACTAATACAGCAGGTCAGAAAACAGTTAAAGTTTTTCATGAAAAATACTGGAAGTACAGTAGAACCTCAGAGTTGTGAACACCTCATTATGGTTGGTCTTTCAAAAGTTTACAACTGAACACTGCCTTAATACAGCTTTGAAACTTTACTATGCAGAAGAAAAATGCTGCTTTTAACCATCTTAATTTAAATGAAACAAGCACAGAAAATGTTTCCTTATCAAATCTCTTTTTTTTTTTTAACTTTCCATTTATTTTTAGTAGTTTACATTTAACACAGTACTGTACTGTATTTGCTTTTTTTTTTTTTTGGTCTGCTGCTGCAGCCTAATTGTGTACTTCCAGTTCCAAATCAGGTGTGCGGTTGACTGGTCAGTTCATAACTCTGGTATTCATAACTCTGAGGCTCTACTGTATTTAAAATTTTGACAAGCAGAGCA